GCTAATATTTAACGCTGACCGCTGTCTAGTTGAGGACAGAACGTGGCCTGTCCACAGCATGACCCTCATTGTTGGGCCGAGTCATAAAAATTCCACAATGTTGATTTTAATATATCCTTAATGGGGGCCATAAAAAGAGTTGATGTCCGTAGGGAATGGTCGCAGATAAAGTGAACTTCATTGACTGGAGAATGCTCTAAATTGACAGTTTGTAAATTGTACATGTTTGAAAAGAAGTCAGTCTATTTTTATAAACTAGTATACAATTCTTAATTTCTTAATTTTAATATAAAGTGTTTTTTGTCATATTGTTTGCAAATATCGTAATACCCGCTTGACAGAGCCATTAAGAGAACTCCTTCAAATTTATTGAATTGAAATTGGCGCGTTAATTGAATGAGTTTCCTTTTTGTGGCCTGACTCATCTGGTTCATTCGCCAGCCATTCCATCAGAGAGCAACTTTGGCTTTTGAAATTAAACCAAAATCCGTCATTAGGCCCGTGCGGATGAAGGCTCTCGAAAATATTCATAAATCTATTGAGCGAAAGTCATTTAAAAAAGTTTGCCAATAATAAAGTCAAGGTGAGGCCGGTGGAAATGAGTTCAATATTAAAGCCTGCAGATAAGATACTTGACGGCTCACGGCGGACATTGAAACTTTCGCTATATAGGTATTCGTGTGTTCATGTAATGTATTTGTATTGGCCAAGTTTGGAGTGTCCAAAGGGGGAAGCAGCGGGATACTCGAAATGAGTTATGTGCTCGGCATGTAAAGCCGGTTTGACCAAAAGTTTTCCCAGGAAGTGTAAACATGTTCGCAGGTGTCGAAAGCTAAGCCAAGTTTCGGGCCAAGTTTTTAGCGGCAGGCAAATGGCCAATTTAATTAGTTTTTTCCTTCTTGTTAGTGTTGCCTTCGTGGAACAAAGGCCGTAAACAGTTTTCAATTTATTTAAGCGAAATCGAGGGACCGCCTTGGTTGAAAGTGAAATAAACGAAATGTAATCAAGCAGATGGTAGCCTTGCCTCCATTTCGCTTGGCGGTTAACGGTTAGCCGCATCTGCGAAATTAAACAGATTTTCATGCATTTTTACCGTCGCCGATCGAGTTAAAAAGTTTGCGGTTTCGTCTGCCATTTGGTCCTCTTCGATTTTTTTCACCCCTTACGTTTTTGCACATCCTACAGAAGGATAATTTCTCTGTTTTATTGCACGACAAACACAAAGTCAACAGCACAAGGTGTGCGGGAGGGGATGGTATGGGTAGAAGGGTAGTCCTGAGGAGGGAACTTGTCATATTGTTATGTTGCCCATCCAAAATATTTTCTTTGACCTGTGAAAACTTTTTGGGCATCGTTGAGGTCTGGGCCAACCTCCTGTTTAAAGGTCAGTTGGCCGGCAAAAAGGCTTCGGGCCGAAAAGTTAAACAATAAAATTTGGGCATGTGGAAGGGAAATGGTGAATAGGAAAATAGGGAAATGTAAAGAGGTTGAGGTGTTGTGATGGATTAGTAACGTTGACTTTTCCTGTGGCTTAGTCTTGTTTATAAGCTAAGCGTTTTATAATTTTTAAAAGGTCTTGGGAACAATTGTATTGCTTCTAGAGATATATTTTTTACACAAATTGTATCCTTTATATTATTACATAGCTGCCAATACTAGAACTTAGTTGGTCCTAAATAAGGCAAGCTTAAAATCCTAAGAGCCCCTACTAAAAGCTCTTTAAAACTTAAAGCTTGGGCAGCTTTTAGCAAACCTTTTCTGGTTTGGGTATTATTTATTTTTCCCTTAGATGGAAGTCCTGGAAAAGTGTATTAATGAGCTTTGGGAATTTTTTAAGCTCTTAATTAGATAATTAATCTTTTGCAATAAGCCAAAAGTAGTCAATTTCAATTATTAAACTATAAATTGCTACAATAAAGCATCAAGTAAAGGACCCGTTCGTTAAAGAAGCTATTTTTCAACCATGTATTTATTAGTTTTATAATAATAATAATTTCTTTTATAAGACACTTTAAACTGAAAAGCTACAAATCCCTTGCCCAAAGCAAGCTACTCAAGTTAATCGGATAACATAATTTGACCCAAAATCTGATTGCCCAAACTCACACATCCCTTCCCGTTCTCTTCTCTCCGATTATGCGAAAAGCTGCTCAAGTAATTAAAATGCTTTCGTTATTAATGACTAAATAGGCCTAGGCTGAGGCATATTTTCCGTCCAAGATTTTGCCTGGCTCAAATAAATTGCCGCGTCACAAAGGCAAAGCAACAGCGGCGAACAAGAGTAAATATTTTCCTGCCGCACGCACATAATTAAATTCCTATTAAATGCAAGAATCGACGAAGGCAGTAAGTAGAATATAATGGCATTTTAGGGCGCAGGCAATGAAACGCACAAAGCCGACGAGCGCCGACAATGGGAATCAAATTATCAACATAATGGCAGCCCGGCAGGAACCGAACCGAACAGGAAGGAAGACAGTTAGGCTCCATAGCCGTGTATACGGTGGTATATATACGGCTTGTTCATTCATAAAATGGTTTTGTGGCATGAGAGACGAGGACACGTGTGCTCAAAAAGCTTTTAGATGGCTAATTGTTCGGGTGGTAAGAAGACAACCAAGTATTGAAAACCGGGACTGAGTACCTATAAGAATTAATCTTCTTCAAGCTGCTGAATTCTGAGATGAAAGCCATGTTAATGGTATGTTCAATGCTATTTTATTTTTTATGAACTGTATTAAAGTTGAATGCAAGATGTTCTTCTGTGTTTCAAATGGTTTTTAATACAACTTCCCTAAAAACTTAATTTTATTCAAATAAATCTCCAACTAACGAAATTTACCTCCCAAATCCCTCAATACATTGCAATTAAACGTTTAAATAATTAATTATATAATCTATCTTCGCTCATTATCATTTGCCCAGCGCCAAGTGCTGCATTTATTTATCCTGTCCAATTTAAGCTCGGCTAACCACCAAAAGAGCTCAAGTGTGGGCTGCTAGTAGGCAGTGATATATTTACCGAATTGGTTTAGCGTGACCTTGGGGCTATATCAACAGCAAACGAAATCCTTGGCTGATAGTCGGGTAATGCAATCAATTACTTGATAATCCCCAAACAAAACTTTGCATAAACGAAACCGTGGACATACCACAATAACAAATCGAGAGGCCGCCCGGCAAGTCGGCAGGATTTAATAACAAAAGTCAGCTGTTCCGAGTCCTTTGCGCTCTCTGGCCAACCCATTTGCTCTCTGAAAGCTCGCGAAGGGCAAAAGCTTCTGATGGACGCTCATGTGGGGAAGCGGGTCAACGCTGCGTATGCGTTACGTTTCACTTTCGTTGTCGACGAAGTAACTCAGCTTCTTTCATTTGGCGGCTGCTGCGACCCAATCAGACTCGTCTCGTATCGCTTCGTTTCGATTTCAGTTTCAGTTCCCGTGCAAATCCCGAGTCGTCTGGTCGTGTGTCCGCAGCAAATTCGTTGAAATTCCAAAAACTCCGGCGCAAGTCGCGCGCGGCTTTCGATTTGTGCCGCGGCTTCTGGTTCTGCTGCCCCAAAAAGTAGGCAACGCGAATTGTGCAAGAAGTCCCCCACTCAAGTTGACTAGCAGTGTCTATGTGTGTGTGTGTTGTTTGGTGTTTAAAGCTTTAACTCTGCCAAGACGCAGGATTTTTATGAATGAACCACCCAGGCGGCAGCGGGTCCTGGTAATTGTGTGCGATGTGTGCGCGGTCTGAAAGTCAAGGCGTGCCAGGCATATCAATGGCACTGCTTGTCCCAGATGGGTATTAATGAGCCTGCCCAATGAAATGCAAACAATGTGAAACGCACATTTCGAGAGCAACTCGGCGGGTGGCTGCCTAAGCGATCTATGAGTGAATATGGACATTTTAACACACAAATTGTACCCCTGAAAGTGAAGATAAGTTATGCCGATGCATACAAATATCTAAGAGAGGGAGGCCCATAACTAGAATACATTTAACATGAATTTAATGAGCAATAAGGCTCTTTAAGCTTTAGGGAATTTCTTTAGAAAATTAAGGGGAAGTTCTGTTAGATACTTATTGAATTTGAACCAAAAATATATAGTCAAAACTTTAAGAAAACACTTAAGGGGCGACGTAAGGACAAATGCTGCCCCATATTTAGATGCCAAGCAATTTTAGCCAATATCCCTGGTTTAGGTTACCCAATTCCTGGAAATCTATAGGCTCTAAAGTAAGCCCAAAAGATTATAAAAAGCTTCTTTCGGCCCTCTGCCCTAATGTGAATTATTTATTTGAGAATGTCCCCGCCCAGCCGGGCCCGCAAAGTGTCACCCCTGTTGTTGCCACCGCTGTTGACCCGGCAAATACGTGATCAGATCACACAACAAACCGCAACAGCGGCAGCAACAAAAATCCAGAAGCGGAGGAAAATACCTTTCCCAGCCCCTTCAACTGGGCCGTCGCCATGGCTGCCATTAAAGATGACACACGCCAGCCGGCTGACGCCTGCCCACATTATGGGAGCGAGTACGCGTACTCGTAAGGCATTCCGATTTCAATTCCGTCTTCACAAACGCTGCTACGCACCGGGCGCCTCCCAATCACCCGCCCGCTGGGATTAATTGCCGAATATTTGTGTGCGGCAAGGCGGAGAAGTTCCACCCCAAAGAGAGAAACAACAAACAAGCAAAAAACGTTTACATTTTTCAGTGAAATCGTGGCAGCCATGAAGATGTTGTTGAGGGATATATGAGCCAGGGAGTCTACAATTACCAAAAGCCAGCTTCAAGAACACGGCGCAAGTCAAACGGTCGAATCGTTTTAATTGCCTCCGGCAGAAAGGATTTCCTGCACTCCGGCAGTGCGTGTGTGTGCGTTCGGGCGAAGTGTGCGCGTGTCGCAGACGGGCAAAGGACCTCAAACGCCAAATCTCCTGCCAGACAAGCCTTTTTGGGCTGTCGACAGCCCTCAAAGCGGCTTAAAGTCCCAGTGGCCAATAGCCAGTTGGCAGTGTAAAGTGTCTAGGCAGAGCAGACACATTCTCCTTCTCACACATCGAAGCCGGAGCCAGAGCCAGGACCTAGACCTGCTGGGTGAGTGTGCTTTGTAATTGTAGGCCACTAGCTTATGTTATGTATACGCCATGTCTCACAGCGGGCATGTGCTGGCTGGGAAGTCAGGAAAGTCAGCTAAGCACCTCAACACTGTGAAACTAACTCAAAGTGCACTGAGAAAATAAACCATGAGTTATTGTTTTTGTTTACTTTCTAAAGAGCAATAAAATACCAAATAAATATTCGAATTTTATATAGTAAAACCACATACCAATTTTCAGAGTTCCAGAGTTATCTATACTTTATTCTGTACTTTATATATTTTTTTCTCTAATTTAAATAATTAAATTTTTATTTAACCTAAGTATTTTACAATACATTAAGTTTAAGTGTAGCGAAAACGAACAACTCGTGGTTCTGCTTCAATTTGTAGCTATAAATTGCACTGAATTTCTGGGCAAGTCTCGCTTGGCTGCTGCTCTTGCCGCTTGTTAGCCAAATCAACCTGCTTGTTATGACAATGACCAAGGTCTTTGAGCAGCAGCAACTACTTGACGAAAAGCTCGAAATAAAATAAAATAAAATAAATAGAGCTTGGAGAACAAAGCCAAGGCGAGCGAGATACACGCGCAAATTGAAGCGACAAAGTCACACAAAAGTCAGACAGACAAATTTTTCAGAAATAACAAATGCGATCCCCACGGGACTGGGTTAGTCGATAAACTTCCTTCCTTCCGAACGGCAAACAACCAAATCGGACGGAGACATGTGGCAAACGGAATGGAAAGGTTAATAGAATAGAATACTTTCAAAGGACGAAATGCCTTGCGATTTGCATGCCACTTGGCAGTTAATAATGAATGAGTGTGGAGCTGGGTTCGAGCAGCGCTTATCGAATGGGACAAGCCCTATACTTAATGGCCAGCACGAGTTTATTGTGTTGATTAAGAGTTTGTCAAGGTGCCAGGCAGTCATAAAATGTCTGATAAATGTGAGCGCTGAGTTTTGAATTATTTCGTATTTGATTTTGTCTAGTCTAGTCTAGTCAAATGACTTTGTGGTCTACGGTTAAATTACGTTTTAAAGTCATTAGTTAATTGAGAAATAAATTCATAAAAATATACAATAACCTGGACTTGAATTTTAATACAATTTCAATGACTAATATAATAAAATATAAAATAATTTTCTCTTGCCCATTTGATGTTCGATTAAGGGCAATCTTTTCGCACAATCCAATGTATTTAACGGGTTTATCTTAACTTATTTGAATACAATCATTATTATTGTTCATGTCCAGCTCAGCAACTATCTGCTATTTAAGAGAAAAACATTCGCTTTAGGGAAATGGCTTAACCTTAGAGCAACCTTCAGATTTTCTTTTTAAAAAAATATATTCAAGCGCCTCCTCGGCTTCCCAAATGGCTGTAATGACGCCCATTAAGGTTTATCTATTAACCCAGTTCGCTGGGTTTTCTTTATACACCGAGGCAGCTTCCCTCAAGGCCGGGTCTTTAAATTAACCGACATAGTATGTGCGGCAAATATATCCTAATTTTGTTTGCAGACTCTTGTCAAGTGCGCCAAACTTCTAGCCGAACTAAAGCTGTTCCTCGCATCTATTCCCGTCCACACGCCTGTGTACTCCTCGCCTCCGACCCAAACTTTGGAACTTGTCGCATACGCGACATAAATCCAAACACATACACGAGCACTTTGCTCTAAGTATGTATACAAGGCCTATCCAAGACAAAAAGTTCCCTGGGAAGGACACTTTTTGTCGGCGAATTTCGGGTGGGCATGGTGGGCCCTCAAGTTGGAGCGCTTTACGAGAGGCTGTCAAAAAGCCAAGTGAGACATTTGTTTTCACTGTCTTTACAACTTCCGGCTTGTGGCTTTAACTATGCTAACAGTCCAGAAATTTGCATGGCTGCTCCCCCTGAAGTAAGCAACAGCATGCTGTTGGGCTTTAACAAGTTTTCACTAGACTAAAAACACACACATGTTCACGTCACATGTGCCATCAAGTTTATGTTGAACAGTGGTGAAAAGATGTTGTAGACTGAAATAGTTTCAGAGAGGAGAAAGCAATGATAATCAAGATTTAAACCGCACTTTAACTTGATAAATAATTTATAATTTATATTTAAAAAAGAATAAATATATTCAGGTAACTTTCAATGATTTTGGATACTTATATGTCAATGCATGTTTATATTGTTCCTTTATTATACTCAAAAAACTCCCACTGTACATTGGTAAGGATATAGCAGGACACCCTCTATGTGCGTATTCATTAGAGGGTAAGAAGACATTGCTCATCCATCCACACACTGCCGCTAGGAGACATCTGAAATGCACAAATCAATGCCACATTGTGTTCCCTGCTGTGTTTGCTTTTGTTCTCCAGTCAAGGCTTTGACGAAATGTTAATCAAATCCCCTTGGCTCGAGGGGCGGGTGAAAAAGACAAAGCCAACCCGTGACAGTGGCAGGAAATGAGTGCGGCCTACAACAATGATGTTTGCGTTGCAATCTGTTTGGGTGTTAAGTAGATTTATGCCACTCCATTATGCCATTCAGCATCGGAGTGGCCAATTAAAGGTGTCCTCTCCCACAGCCTCGTATCCCTGGCTGTAGGCCTTTAAAAAGCCCTCCTCTTAGCCAGCCAATAACCAGTTCAGTCCCAGAGTAGAGAAGGCATCCTTTTTGTTTAATGCCAAGCTTTTGTGTGAAATTAAAAGGTGAGGTCTGTGAAGCCTCACGAATCATGAATACGCATTTTCAGTATATTAAATAAAATACGTGACCAAATAAATGATATAAATAATTGCAAAAAGCCTAAGTTTTGGTCTTTCCTTCTTGGGAGAAACTTTACAAAATACAGTCAATTGTATTTGTAAATGAACCCTTCGAAGAGCATCCTGCTTGGCTTATCCTGGGCAACGCAAATCCCAGTCCCCAATTCGGGGTTATTTTAAAAGAAACTCGTTACTTAAATCAGGAATTCCAGCTAATGAAATGATGGGCGTGGCCCTTTTTGAACCTTCGCTTATTCAGCGTGGCTGCTTTTCATTTGACCTAAGCGGCTTTCCAAAAAATTTATGTTAATTCTTCCTTCTGGTTTTTATACTTTTCGTTTATTTTTTTCTGGGAAAATGCAGTAATTATTTCTCAGGGACCTTTAGTCCTTCCTGGTCCCTTTTCGGGACTGAAAATCAGCTGGAAATCGTTTATTAAATTTTTTATAAGCTGCCAAAGCATTTGGTTTGCCTTCTCCTGGCATTTTAACATTTATGCCAACACTTTTTGTTTGCTTTAACGTTTATGGTATTTGTATTTTTGGCCAACATAACTGGAACTGATCCGGGGGGCTTTGGGGGAAATTTCATAATTTTAAATGTTTATTTCGCATTTAATGAATTGGATATTTATCCGTTTTTTTTTTTTTGCCTATAGCCGCATACATGCAGAGCACACAAAATGTTTTTGCCTCTCGTTAATTTATGGGTTTATATTTTAGTGCGGTTAATTTAAAACTTGATGATTTATTCGTTTCGCTTTTCTCTGGTTTTCGCTGTTTAGAAATTATTCAAATAAGGGATTAAAATATATTTATTTTAAGCAAAGTATTTCGTGCGATTTGACTGCAGGTTGCATAATAATACCCTTGCAGGGTATTATAATTTCAGTCAGAAGTTTGCAACGCAGTGAAGGAGACGTTTCCGACCCTATAAAGTATATATATTCTTGATCAGCATCAACAGGGGAATCTTTCTAGATATGTCAGGAAGAAATCGATTTTTAGGCCATTTTTGCAAAATTTTATAAGGGGTTACATCATTAAAATTTTTGATTTTGATAAAAAATTGAATTTTTAAAATTTTTAAATGAAGTATGCAGATTTATTAACTGTAGAAAATCTTGCACAGAACAGTTTTCCGATTTAAAATTAATGCTCTTTTGGTCGATTTATGATATTTTTAATTTAAAAAATAATCAAGAAGTTTTTTAATATAAAAAATCCGATTTTATAATACAAAATAATATTTTTCTTAGTCAAGGAATCATTTCCGACCCCATAAACCATATATATTCTTGATCAGCATTAACATGCGAATCTTTCTAGACATGTCCGGAAGAAATCGATTTTTTGGCCATTTTTGCGAAATTTCATAAGGGGTTACATCATTAAAATTAGCAAAAAGGGCCAAAAATTTTGATTTCTTGAAATTTTAAATTTGGTATGCAGTTTTTTTAAATTATTAAAAACTAACACAAAACTGCTTTCCGAATCGAAATTTATGCATTTTTGGCTTAGTTATGATATATTTTAATTGTTACCTGCAAGGGTATACAAACTTTGGCTGGCCAAAGTTAGCTTTCTTTCTTGTTTATATTTATATTGATAAAGAAAAGTAATTAATGTTTTTATAGGCCTAGACATAAAACAGGCTTTAATATTATTTAGAGTTTTTCTGAAAATATTAAAATGTATATTTTTTATAAATATATATTGATACAATGCTAAGTAGTAAAGTTGTTCATTTGCAAGTGTAGCAGACTACTTTTTAGCTTTAAATTTAAGTGTAGTCATTATACCCGTTACCCACAGGATTTGCATCGCTATTTGTTCATTGATTTTTGCTTATTATGTTCCTAATTTCCCAACTCAGATTATTTGTGTAACATCAGAAAAATGTAGGGAGCGGTTCTAAAGTTCCTCACACTATTAAGGTTTTTTATTTTGTAATTTTCTTGAAATATATATAAGATCTAGAAAACCCCTATAAAATTAAAAAAAATATATATGTCTAGTTTTAAAGTCTCCATAAATAAGATGAGAAACATTTGAAATGCATTTTAGTTCCCCATATTCATTGGTCTGCTTTTGATTGCAAACCGATGAACTCCATGACACTTTGATGATGGCTTATATTTCATCTGCCACAGATATATGTATGTATGCTTTTGTTTGCCGTGCGGTTTCCCACTAAAATGTTGACTTTAGACAACCGAGTGGGTGAAACATCGAAATGT